TATCAGTGCGCTAGTGAAAGAATATTAGACTCCTCAGTTGACGTGTATTGGACGTGTGGTGTGATTTATTTACTCCTGAACATTGGTAAAAATCGAACATTTCCGCTACTTTGAGCTCAGTTTCAAAGCCATTTTCATCGTCAAAGTAATGACAATCATCTCTATTTCTGTAATATGTTTTCCATTTTATCACCTAAGACTATGAAAACGCGAATACAATGATAAATACCATATGAAAATACACCTCAAAGTCGGCGTTTTATTCCAAAAAAACGATCAGTTTTTTTTTTCTCATTACGCAATGTGTGCTGCAGGATTTTTTTTATGTGGTGCACACTGACCACACAGACCCATTCTCTCACATGTGGGCCTACCAGCTTTCTCCCGCTTGATTTGAAGCCGCTAGAATTATTGAGTATATATACCTCAGAAACATTGGCTCGTAAGACATATTTATACGTCAAAAACAGTCAAAGGGTTAACAAAAATTATTTTTTACCTTAAAGATAGATTTACATGTACAAAAGAATGAACATTCAAGATTACACTTACCTTTATTGAAGGCTGTTGTTGATGGATGGAAGACAGGGAGGAGGGGAGAGAGAAGAGAGGCTATTGTTTGGAAGGGGAATCCCCCTCCATAAGGACTCTAGGTACCAAGTCCTTATCAAGGGTCACTTCCCTTGCCACATCCCTAGATTCAATATAGAGTTACATGCAGAAAAAAATGGCCAATAAATATAAAGCACTAATAAAATGTATAAATGAACATTTAAGATCACACTTACCTTTATTGAAGACTTGTTGGTGTATGGCAGACAGGGTGGAGGGGAGAGGGAGGAGAATTTATTGTTGGAGACAGGACAATATGCTTCAATATGACACTAATATCAACTCTGCAGCTTATTTATCTATCACAATTCAACTAATATGACATAATAAACAATATTAATAACATAGAAACATGACATATACTCTAGAATGAATAAAATGTGCCATTATGCATGTCACAACTGGTGTTCTGTTGGTGTTGTTGGGTGTATATGGGCCACCGTGAGCATAAGCCATACATAGTGGTGGTGATGGCGGCAGTGTTGTCAGTAGCCCTGTATACCTCCAACAACATTGGAGGTGTTAGGTTCGTGCTGTCCTTTTTCTATCGATTAATCGCTTAACCTACTTGCCACACTGTTAATGCTACACTTTATCGCTGGCTGGTGCTATAGCCTTTATCAACTCCTGCTGCTTTAGTATCGTACATATTGTAGAATCACAGAATCACTGAAGAAGGCACTCTCTACCACCATCATTCCCACCCTTTACCACCATCACTACCACCGTCTACCACCACCACTTTCGTATTTTTCTACAAACTTTTCCTTGAATTCTATTGTGTTTCTCACATTCTTTCCCAAAAGGCTGGCACTAGAAGCTTATTTAGCAGCCACACACAATAAACAAGTGCCAAAAATAATGGATTATTATGAAATGTTTTGTATGACCTCACAGGATATGTTCACTCACCAAGAAATAACACAACACTGCCTGAGAATGGGTGTGGGAGGTGACTTTGTCTGCGTGCTGGGTACTGGACAGGTTCCGTACCATTGATGAAAATGGAGGAAATTAACGAAAACGAAACCAATATTTTGACAAAAAAAGTTGGCAAAAATGGATATTGGCGATAACAGAGATCACAAAAAGGGAGGGTCCACTGTATATAATTTTTATGTTCTGATAATTACAATTTATAGTAGTTCTTGTGATTTTGTAGCCAATGTTTATTCTGACACTAATAGTATTAGGTACTGAAATAGTACTCAGATAGCCACAAGCACACTGACAGGTGAACATTTTCACCTGCCTTGGTCATTTACTATTATCTAGAAACAGAGAGCATGCATAGTTCCTTTGTATAAAGGCAAAGGGGACAAAAGAGAGTGCAAAAATTATAGGGGGATAAGTCTGTTGAGTATACCTGGTAAAGTGTATGGTAGAGTTATTATTGAAAGAATTAAGAGTAGGACGGAGAATAGGATAGCAGATGAACAAGGAGGCTTTAGGAAAGGTAGGGGGTGTGTGGACCAGGTGTTTACAGTGAAACATGTAGGTGAACAGTATTTAGATGAGGCTAAAGAGGTTTTTGTGGCATTTATGGATTTGGAAAAGGCGTATGACAGGGTGGATAGGGGGACAATGTGGCAGATGTTGCAGGTGTATGGTGTAGGAGGTAGGTTACTGAAAGCAGCGAAGAGTTTTTACGAGGATAGTGAGGCTCAAGTTAGAGTATGTAGGAAAGAGGGAGATTATTTCCAGTAAAAGTAGGCCTTAGACAAGGATGTGTGATGTCACCGTGGTTGTTTAATATATTTATAGATGGGGTTGTAAGAGACATGGAGTTAAAAGATAAAGAATCACACATAAAGTGGGAGTTGTCACAGTTGCTCTTTGCTGATGACACTGTGCTCTTGGGAGATTCTGAAGAGAAGTTACAGAGGTTGGTGAATGAATTTGGTAGGGTATGCAAAAGAAGAAAATTAAAAGTGAATACAGGAAAGATTAAGATTATGAGGATAACAAAAAGATTAGGTGATGAAAGATTGGATATCAGATTGGAGGGAGAGAGTATGGAGGAGGTGAATGTATTCAGATATTTGGGAGTGGACGTGTCAGTGGATGGGTCTATGAAAGATGAGGTGAATCATTGAATTGATGAGGGGAAAAGGGTGAGCGGTGCACTTAGGAGTCTGTGGAGACAAAGAACTTTGTCCTTGGAGGCAAAGAGGGGAATGTATGAGAGTATAGTTTTACTAACGCTCTTATATGGGTGTGAAGCATGGGTGATGAATGTTGCAGTGAGGAGAAGGCTGGAGGCAGTGGAGATGTCATGTCTGAGGGCAATGTGTGGTGTGAATATAATGCAGAGAATTCGTAGTTTGGAAGTTAGGAGGAGGTGCGGGATTGCCGAAACTGTTGTCCGAAGGGCTGAGGAAGGGTTGTTGAGGTGGTTCGGACATGTAGAGAGAATGGAGCGAAACAGAATGACTTCAAGAGTGTATCAGTCTGTAGTGGAAGGAAGGCGGGGTAGGGGTCGGCCTAGGAAAGATTGGAGAGACGGGGTAAAGGAGGTTTTGTGTGCGAGGAGCTTGGACTTCCAGCGGGCATGCGTGAGCATGTTTGATAGGAGTGAATGGAGACAAATGGTTTTTAATACTTGACGTGCTGTTGGAGTGTGAGCAAAGTAACATTTATGAAGGGATTCAGGGAAACTGGCAGGCTGGACTTGAGTCCTGGAGATGGGAAGTACAGTGCCTGCACTCTGAAGAGGGGTGTTAATGTTGCAGTTTAAAAACTGTAGTGTAAAGCACCCTTCTGGCAAGACAGTGATGGAATGAATGATGGTGAAAGTTTTTCTTTTTTGGGCCACCCTACCTTGGTGGGAATCGGCCAGTGTGTTAATAATAAAATTAATAATAAAAAATATAGAAAGTATTTATAGGTCTCAACAATGTTTTAGACATGCTGGAGTATATATGAAACTCCTTGAAGCATGGAGTTAAGACGAGTGTCACTAAATTGCTGACAGTGCAGCAGTGGAATGACACATGATGAGTGTGCACTGCTCCAGGGAACCCTGGCTTTATTTGTTTTCACTGTTACACACAAACATATCTGTCTATCTAACTCTGCTTATCTGTCATTCTGTCTGCCTGTGTGTATCAGTCTCTATGCTTGTCTCTCTGTCTCAGAGAGTGGCTCGTAAACCAACAGGTATTACACACAATGCAAAGTCATCACGTCTCATTCCTGATCAAGTAAAAAATGCGTATTACTTGCCAGTCATGCTTATTATGCCTTATATCTACAAGCACTGTATACCACTTTGCCTGGAATTTTTAGGTTATCCTAGGTAATTTACACTATGTATAATTGTACTTATGTGTACCTGAGAGAGAGACAGAGATAGACAGAAACAGACAGATATATAAACAGACAGATATAGACTGGGAACCAAAGCAATCATAGTACAGTGGACCCCCGGTTAACGATATTTTTTCACTCCGTAAGTATGTTCAGGTGCCAGTACTGACCGAATTTATTCCCATAAGGAATATTGTGAAGTAGATTAGTCCATTTCAGACCCCCAAACATACACGTACAAACGCACTTACATAAATACACTTACATAATTGGTCGCATTCGGAGGTAATCGTTATGCGGGGGTCCACTGTACTAGGGGGAGAGAAGACAACTTTGTAGTACCCACAGTCAGTTGCCAGGCTTCAAACACCTTTTATTGTACAGCAATAAAGGAATGGAATAGACTGCCTGTACATGTCAGAGCCAGTCATAGTATGAGCCAGTTCAAGAAGAGAGCCGAAAGGTACCTAATAAATGTAGCGACAGAAAGGGAGGAAAATGATTTTTTTTTTAATTTTTAGCTAATGCACATATTAATGTAAATAACTCTCTCTACCTTATTCCTAGTATATATCCTTTTCTATTTTTTTATTAACACATCGGCCGAGTCCCACCAAGGCAGGGTGGCCCGAAAAAGAAAAACTTTCATCATTATTCACTCCATCACTGTCTTGCCAGAGGGGTGCTTTAACCACAGTTTATAAAACTGCAACATTAACACCCCTTCTTCAGAGTGCAGATGCTGTACTTCCCATCTGTACAGTGTCTTCACTCTGAAGGAGAGGTGTTAATGTTGCAGTTTTATAAACTGTAGTGTAAAGCACCCCTCTAGCAAGACAGTGATGGAATGAATGATGATGAAAGTTTTTCTTTTTCAGACCACCTTACCTTGGTGGGATGATAATAATACGATATTATTTCTTTCATAGTATAATAATAAGGTATTAAAAGAGTCCCAATGGAAATAAGTCACTTTGTCTGACTTTTTTGGGTTATCCTGCTCTACACTGATTGTCACACAAGAGACCTTTATCTGGTTTGAGCGTATTAAATTACTTTAATTTATTTATTCTCTACAGAAACATGGAGAGTTTATGGCAGCAGCAAGTGATGTGCTGGATGTTTGGAATGACATGTTTAGAAATTCTTTAATTTCTAATCCAGAGACAATAACTGAAGAAAATGAAGAAGTTATTCATCTTCCTAGTCTTTATCGTGAAAGGTTGGTTTGTATTGAATACTGTTTTTCCTCTGTGGTTCTGTCTATAGTACAGTAGTATTGTAGGTCATGTATATGTGGCTCTGTTTATAGTACAGTAATTTGTAGGTCATGTATATGTGGTTCTGTTTATAGTACAGTAATGTTGTAGGTCATGTATATGTGGCGCTGTTTATAGTACAGTAATGTTGTAGGTCATGTATTGTGTATGTGGCTGTGTAGTAGTGTTGGTGGTCATGTACGTATGTGACTAGTGGTGTTGTAGGTCATGTATATGTGACTATAGTGGTGTTGTAGGTCATGTATCTGTGACTGTGTAGTAGTGTTGGTGGTCATGTGTATATGGCTGTGTACTAGTGTTGGTGGTCATGTATATGTGGCTGTGTAGTAGTGTTGGTGGTCATGTATATGTGGCTGTGTAGTAGTATTGGTGGTCATGTATATGTGGCTGCATAGTAGTGTTGGTGGTCGTGTATATGTGGCTGCGTAGTAGTGTTGGTGGTCGTGTATATGTGGCTGTGTAGTACTGTTGGTGGTTGTGTATATGTGGCTGTGTGTTAGTGTTGGTGGTCATATATATGTGGCTGCATAGTAGTATTGTAGACGAGGCTCATCAGCAGTGTACTCTTATTTAATTTGACCTCCATTGTTGTATATCTTCCATAATTCTTTCAACACACCGGCCGTATCCCACCGAGGCGGGTGGCCCAAAAGGAAAAACGAAAGTTTCTCCTTTTACATTTAGTAATACATACAGGAGAAGGGGTTACTAGCCCCTTGCTCCCGGCATTTTAGTCGCCTCTTACAACACGCATGGCTTACGGAGGAAGAATTCTGTTCCACTTCCCCATCTTCCATAATTATTCCTTGAAAATCACTCACTGTTACTGGGTATAGCTTTTTCTTGTCTCTAATTAGTGTTTCATGTTTGCATATTTCTGATTCTGAGTAATTAAATTCTCTTCATCATTTCTCAAAATCCTTTGACATAAAGCCTTCCCAGAGTTATTGTATTAATAACATCGAAGTTTCCATTTCAAACGGATGACGTTTCATCTTTTTTATTGTTTTTTTCAGCAGTTTTTAAGTACAGATACTAGACTTGTGTTATATATTACAGCTATGACCCAGTTGCCAGAGAAATGGAAGAAATCATCAAAGATTACCATGAATTTATGGTGAACTCTAACTGTTTGGATCATTTTATTATCTACAGCTACTTACAGAAAAACTTAAAGCACAAGCAAGAGCTTCTTAAGGATATTTTCTCTAAGGTAATGTGAGGTTAAAACCTGAGGTTTAATTTATATACATATACAGTAGGGCCTCACTTATATGGCAGGTTAGGTTCCAGGCTACTGCCGGAAAGCAGACATCACCGGAAAGCACAACACCATTTGTTTCCAATTATAAATGTCAGATAATAAGTTTACACTAACATTTATTAAGTTAGCAATAGAACAAGGCATTAAAAAAATAAGTAAAATATACACACAGTACAGTACACTCAATACTTACCTCAAAATATTTGTAGTCTTAATGTAGGGTGAGAAGTGAATAGTGTTTATTGTAAGAAATTAGGTGTGGTAGGTATGGCAGCCACCCCACCAACATGTAATATACTTCGACATTTAAGGAGGCCTATAGCGATAAAATGCATATAGTGTACATTCATTACTTACCTTAACCCTTTCAGGTCCAGAGGCCAAATCTCTTGTTATTGGCATAATATACAGTGGACCCTCGCCTAACGATATTAATCCGTTCCTGAGAGCTCAACATTAAGCGAAATTATCGTTAGCCGAATTAATTTTCCCCATAAGAAATAATGGAAATCAAATTAATCCGTTCCTGACACCCCAAAGTATGAAAAAAAAAATTTTACCACATGAAATATTAATTTTAATACACACAAACTGAAGAAGACATGTACAATTACATGACACTTGCCTTTATTGAAGATCTGGTGATGATTGATGGGATGGGAGGAGGGGAGAGTGTGGATGGTGTTAATGTTTAGAAGGGGAATCCCCTTCCATTAGGACTTGAGGTGTCAAGTCTTTTTCCGGGGTTACTCCCCTTCTTCTTTTAATGCCACTAGGACCAGCTTGAGAGTCACTGGACCTCTGTCGCACAACATATCTGTCCATAGAGGCCTGTACCTCCTGTTCCTTTATGACATTCCTAAAGTGTTTCACAACATTGTCAGTGCAATAGTCACCAGCACGGCTTGCAATAGCTGTGTGAGGGTGATTTTCATCAAAAAAGGTTTGCACTTTAAGCCACATTGCACACATTTCCTTAATCTTTGAAGTAAGCAACTTCCTCAATTTCTCTATCCCCTCCTCCGGAGCAGTTTCCTCAGGTCTGGCCTCTTGCTGTTGAAGATGATCTTGCAGCTCATCAGTGGTTAGTTCTTCATTGACCTCCTCCACCAACTCTTCCACATCCTCCCCACTAACCTCCAACCCCAAGGACTTCCCCAATGCCACAGTTGATTCCACAACTGGCATAGACTTCTCAGGGTTAGCCTCAAATCCTTCAAAATCCTTTTTGTCTACACATTCTGGCCACAGTTTCTTCCAAGCAGAGTTCAAGGTCCTCTTTGTCACTTCCTCCCAAGCCTTACCTATAATGTTTACACAATTGAGGATGCTAAAGTGATCTCTCCAAAACTCTCTTAGAGTCAATTGAGTTTCTGAGGTCACTACAAAGCACCTTTCAAACATAGCTTTTGTGTAGAGTTTTTTGAAGTTTGCAATGACCTGCTGGTCCATGGGCTGCAGGAGAGGAGTGGTATTAGGAGGCAAAAACTTGACCTTAATGAAGCTCATGTCCCCAGAAAGCTGCTCTGCCACGTCTGAAGGATGACCAGGAGCATTGTCTAATACCAGGAGGCACTTAAAGTCCAATTTATTTTCCATGAGGTAATTTTTCACAGTGGGGGCAAATGCATGGTGTAACCAGTCATAGAAAAGGTCTCTAGTGACCCATGCCTTACTGTTTGCCCTCCACATCACACACAAATTAGCCTTGAGGACATTGTTTTTCCTGAACACTCTGGGAGTTTCAGAGTGATACACCAATAAAGGCTTCACTTTGCAATCACCACTAGCATTGACACACATCAAAAGAGTAAGCCTGTCTTTCATAGGCTTATGTCATGGGAGTGCCTTTTCCTCCTGAGTAATGTAGGTCCTGCTTGGCATTTTCTTCCAAAACAGGCCTGTTTTGTCACACTTAAACACTTGTTCAGGTTTCAATTCTTCACTGTCTATGTACTCCTTGAGTTCCTTCACATGTTTTTCAGCTGCTTTTTGGTCCGAACTGGCAGCCTCACCATGCCTTATCACACTATGTATGCCACTACGATTCTTAAATCTCTCAAACCAACCTTTGCTGGCCTTAAATTCACTCACATCACCACTAGTTGCAGGCATTTTTCTAATTAAATCATCATGCAACTTCCTAGCCTTTTCACATATGATCGCTTGAGAGATGCTGTCTCCTGCTATCTGTTTTTCGTTTATCCACACCAATAACAGTCTCTCAACATCTTCTATCACTTGCGATCTCTTATTCAAAAACAAAGTTGCACCTTTGGCAAGAACAGCTTCCTTGATTGCCGTTTTCTTGGCCACAATAGTAGCGATGGTTGATTGGGGTTTTGTGTACAACCTGGCCAGCTCGGAGACACGCACTCCACTTTCATACTTAGCAATGATCTCTTTCTTCATATCCATAGTAATTCTCACCCTATTTACTGTAGGGTTGACACTAGAAGTTTTCTTGGGGCCCATGGTTACTTATTTTGCAGGTGCAATCACTAAAAACGCTGTGATAATATGAAATGTTTGGATGCGACCGCGGTGGCTGGCTTGTAAACACTGGCACCCACGGGACAAGTGAGGCACGCTCAGGCCACACGTGGATGCGTCTCGAACGGAACGAATTGCGTTGGGCGAGTTTTTTAGCGCTAGCTGAGGCAAAATTTTTGTGTTAAAATGTATCACTAGGCGGATTTAACGTTATGCGATGCTTACGTCAGGCGAGGGTCCACTGTACAATGATGGGGTTGTATAAAATAATTTGAACACTGCTTAATACTAAAATATGTAATTTAAATACTGTTTAATACTAAAATACATACATAAATAGAAAAAAATTAGATGAAATAAATGCAGACTTAACCTTGCCTTGCTGAAAATAGTCGAGTGCCTACTAGGATAGTGCTGAGAAGGGAGGAGGAGGTAATGTTATTGTTTGGAAGGAGAGTCTCCTCTTTTCTGTCTCTTTTTTCCCTATTTGGACCTGGTTGAAGCTCACCAGGTTTGACTTTTACTGTTGTGTATTTATTTTACTTTTTAATATTTTTTTTTATATCTAGTTGTACTGAGCACTTAATGTATGATACTTTAAACATGCTCTCAGGCATTCTAGATGAATTCAGTAAGGAAAAAAAAAAGCTCCTTTTCACCTGCTGGCAATTTTTGCTTACTGTTAGGGGTTGTGAACCTTAATTAACCCTTTGAGGGTCGACAGGCCCTCTCCGAAACTCGTTCTCAGGGTCGGCCAAATTTAAAAAAAAAAAAAATTATTTTTTCTTATGAAAAGTTAGAGAATCTTTTCCCGATCATAAAGACACCAAAAGTTTGAAATTTGATAGAAAACTTACGGAATTATGCTCTCGCAAAGTTAGCGGTCTCGGCGATGTTTACGCATCGGCGATTTTGCCCACTTTGAGCCCCATTTTCGGCCAATTTCACTGTACTAGTCGACAAAAAACATGAATATTTCGCTAGAACTCCATTTTTTCTATCGAATGGGTGCAAGAAACCACTCATTTATGAAATTCAACTATCCAGTACAGTGGTCAGAATTTAGCAATTTTGCCAATTTCACACAAATTTCAAAAGATGCCAATTTCCGAATAGGGTCCAGAATAAACAAGAAAGACATTCCTGGCACTAAAATGACATTTCCTCTAGTCATTATTCACGTCTCAAGGCCCCTCTTATATTCTTTTGCTTTCCACTTTGAATTTTTATTTTCACAAAAAATATAAGATTTACTGTTATGCAGACTACTGCATTAGTGTAAAAAATGGTATAAATATTATTGGTGCATTTGTAAAAGGGAATATTAGACTCACCAGTTGATGTGTATTGCACGCTTGGCACGATTTGTTTACTTTTGAAGTTTGGTAAAAATCGAACATTTCTGCTACTTTGAGCTCAATTTCAAGGCACCTTTCTTTGTAAAACCAGTCAAAATCATCTCTCTTTCTGTAATATGTCTTCCATTCTATAAAATGAGACCAAGAAAACTAGAATACAACAATAAATACCTTACGAAAATACACTGCAAAGTCGCTGATTTATTAAAAAAAAATGGTCAAAGTTTTTTTTTTCTCATTATGCACTGTGTGCTGCAGGATTTTTTTTAGACTGTGCACACTGACCACATAGACCCATTCTTTCATATGAAGGCCTACCAGCTTTCTCCCACTAGATTTGAGGCCGCTAGAATTTATGAGTACTAGTACGTCAAAAACCCCTACGCGTAAGACGTACTAGTACGACGAAAACCCTCAAAGGGTTAAGAGCCATACGATTGGAGCTCTGTTGTACTCAGTCTTTAATTACCTAGACATTGTTACCCTAATTGTCTTGCTTCTTTTTATGCTCACTTTTAGTTTTCTTATTTTACATAGCCTTCCAAATTCTTGCACCAACCTTGGCAGCTTCTCTTCACAATGTTCTAAAAGAAGTCAAACACCAGATAACAGATGATTTACTGCTCTTGTCTTTTTCCAGGCATACGTCGTTGAGGGTGTCAGTCAGATGCCAGCTATGGAAAGAGAGCTACTGAAACTACTACTGAATGGGTCACAAATATTTAAGCTATCTTCTGAGTTTCCTATAGCACTTAATTCTGTCATTTCAACTAATCTTGACATATCTGGCATATTTGAAAATGATGCAGTCTCATCAGTGCTGGAGAGTAATGAGTTCAAAGTAAATAATATAGAGAACCATTCATTTGATGACATTTCAAAGGTTGAAGTGAGGATTATAAATAGTGCCTTGAATGATTACGTTGATAGCCTCTGCAAAAGTCCGTGCAAGGTACACGTTGGCAGTGACTCGGAGTTTTACATTGAGCAACTGATATTAGCACATCTGCGACTTTTGATCAACACACGAGACGAGTTGGCTCTCACTCTGATGTGCTGTATGCCAGGAAGGGGAGTTTCTCAGCAGGGCTTTACTGATATAAGACTAGAAGCTCAGAAGAAGAGTATGCCAATGTATCAGGTAAGTCTTTACAGAGTTTAGTCATGAGCATTGCTATTTACTCCATGGAAGTACAGTGGTACCCCGAGTTACGAACTTAATTTGTTTGAGAAGGCTGTCTGAGTGCTGATACTGAACAAATTTGTTCCCGTAAGGAATAATGTAAATTAGATTAGTCCATTTCAAGCCTCCCAAAATACACTTACAAAAGCACTTACAAAAATATACTTGGAGTTGGGAGCTGTTCAAAACTTGAGGTACCACTGTATGTCCAGGATGGTCATTATAATGTAATTTCCTTCAAGTATTCATTCCTGATTATTAAAGCAACTTAAGGTTTATCAGGACAGAGACCAGTTGTATTATCCTGCACATAGTAACTACTTACAAATAAACTTGAGGTATTCACACTTGCCTAGGTTTGCCACTTGAGGGTAATAGGTAACTTAATTTTTCATTTGAATTTTATCAATATCCCATTTGATTATTAGAAGCTTTTTAACACATTATGTTTTAAATCATGTGCATCTTGGCCAGTCAACACCAGTGACACGTTTGTCACAGGCCAATCACTTGTCACTCCCTCTCACTGAAGTATCATAATACAGGATCTTAAATTTCACCCCATAAACACAACATTACAGTGTTGACAGACTTACATTGAATTTATAAGCCTTGGATCTGTTTTGTTTTCAACAATTTATTGAACCTGGCAACTGATGGAAGACAGATGGGCTAGTGAGAGTATAGGCAATAGGGTAGATGTATGGGGTAGGTTGAAGAATATAGTGTTCGAGTGTTCAGCAGAAGTTTACGGTTATAGGAAAGTGGGTATGAGAGGGAAGAAGAGTGATTGGTGGAATGATGATGTAAAGAGAGTAGTAAGAGAGAAAAAGTTAGCATATGAGAGGTTTTTACAAAGTAGAAGTGATGCAAGGAGGGAGGAGCATATGGAGAGAAAAAGAGAGGTTAAGAAAATGGTGAAGCAATGTAAAAAGAGAGCAAATGAGAGGGTGGTTGAGATGTTATCAACAAATTTTGTTGAAAATAAGAAAATGTTTTGGAATGAGATTTAAAAGTTGAGAAAGCCTAGGGAAAGAATGGATTTGTTAGTTAAAAGCAGGAGAGGAGAGTTGTTAAATGGAGAGTTAGAGGTATCGGGAAGATGGAGGGAATATTTTGAGGAATTGTTAATGATGATGTCGATAGGGGAGCTGCGATTTCTTGTATAGGGCAAGGAGGAATAACATCTTATAGGAGTGAGGAAGAACCAGTTGTGAGTGTAGGGGAGGTGCATGGGGCAGTGAGTAAAATGAAAGGGGGTAAAGCAGCTGGGATTGGTGGGATAAAGATAGAAATGTTAAAGACAGGTGGGGATCTGGTTTTGGAGTGGTTAGTGTTTTTATTTAATAAATATATGGAAGAGGGTAAGGTACCTAGGGATTGGCAGAAAGAATGCATGGTTCCTTTGTATAAAGGCAAAGAGGACAAAAGAGAGTGTAAAAATTATAGAGGAATAAGTCTGTAAAGTGCATGGTAGAGTTATTATTGAAATAATTAAGAGTAAGACAGAAAGCAGGATAGCAGATGAACAAGGAGGCTTTTGGAAAGGTAGGGGGTGTGTAGACCAAGTGTTTACAATGAAACATATAGGTGAACAGTATTTAGTTAAGGGTAAAGAGGTATTTGTGGCATTTATGGATTTGGAAAAGGCATATGATAGGGTTGATAAGGGGGCAATGTGGCAGGTATTGCAAATGTATGGAATAGGAAGTAGATTATTGGAAGTAGTGAAAAGTTTTTACGAGGACAGTGAGGCTCAGGTTAGAGTATGTAGGCAAGAGGGAGCTTATTTTCGATTAAAAGTTTGTGTAAACAAGTTTTGTAAACAATATAATGATACTAATGTTTGTCTGATTATTGTGTTACATACAACTAGTGTATATATGTACATTGCACCTTACTTTGGTCTCACAGGCCACATAAGTTATGTGAAAAAATAAAATAATGAAAAAAGAAACCTTCGAATGGCAGTAAACCAAAGTTTACCGGGTGAGTAGCATTCGTGGCTCATTTTCTGCCAATTTTACTCCTCTATATCTTGGTAAGTACTGATCACAAAAATTTTTGGGGGCCTTAAAACAATCCAAAAATTAATCTTAACATTTTGATAAGAAAATTTTTTTTTTTTTTTTTTGCGAATATTTTTCGACACCAGGAGACACTTCAGATTTGGGGTTGCGACAGTCAAAGGGTTAATAGAGATGTATTGCTGCATGTTTGTTAGGTAGGATTTGAAATATGTAAGTGTGTGACCTCTTATGCCACAATGCTCAAGTTTATGGAGTGGGAAACTGCTGATATATACTTTACCTTTGAAGAGTTTCGAGGGTTCATCTACTCTCTGAGCCTGGCCATGGGTCAGGCTCGTCTGGTGCTTGCCTGGTCAACCAGGCTGTTGCTGCTGGAGGCCTGCTACCCCACATATCCATCATAGCTAGGTTGATCTGGCACCTGGTGAAGATACTTGTCCAGTTTCCTCTTGATGTGTTAATAAAAAACAAAGTAATGAGAGTAGCAGTATTGATTAGCTTGGTAACTTGTGTAGTCAGAGGAGGGCAAGGAGTGAGGCATAGTGTAAGAAAACCATAACAAAAAATAAACTTACCAAGAGAAGACTATACTGTATTATAAAATGTTTAATCAAGAGATGTGTATGTACATGTTTTTGCTCTAACACGGTTGCAAAATTGTGGCATATTTTTGGTAAACATGCCATAAAAATTGGTTTACACAATGGAGTGCATATAGGGGAAAATGTGGCACATTCTATGTTCTTTCCCTTCAGTCTCATAGTGAGCCTTGACGAGTCTATTGTCTTACAGGGGATCCCTTTCCCAGTGCCTCATTCCTGTGTCTAATACCATATTTAGCCTGTGTTAGTGAATTGACTTTAGATATTTCTATCGTCCCACCTTTTCTCTGCATAGTAACAATGGCACCCAAGAAGAATGTGATCCTGAAACTCACTTCTACCCCACGGTCACACTCCTACACCTACAACATTCCCTAACATACACATTCCTATATCTACACCATATCTGGAATTTATTTGCATTTATAAGTGGAAAAAATGGCGTTCTGCTCTCTGGCAATGTCCACTTTCCGGCAGTAGCCTGGAACCTAACCTGCCATATAAGTGAGGCCCTACTGCAATAATGTCTTTATTTCTACTAGTACATGTACAAGATATGTACAACCATTCATCTACTGGTCTAGCAGACATCAGTGACATACTACATAGAAAGCTGCTTAGTTATGCAGAGCATATCAGGCAGATTAGATCAGTTTTGTCCCAGGGTGCGACCCACACCAGTCAACTAACACCCAGGTACCCATTTTACTGATGGGGAACAGACAACCGGTGTAAGGAAACATGCCCAATGTTTCAACCCTTGCTGGGAATCAAACCTAGAACCTTGCCATGTAAAACGAGAGCTTTAGCAACCAGGCCATGAGGCACCGCTCTGATGTCGGTGCACTTCTCACAAGACAGTGAGTGAATGAGAAGCAGTGAATGTGTTTTATTGCTTATCAAGTAATTCTACCTCAGTGGGAGACAACTGAAGTGTTAAAAAATACACAAATTGAGGGGTAGAACTCGTGAATTATATCAATGCTGTAATTAATGGAAACTTTAAAACTTTTATGTTCAGCATAATGACAAGACACTACGAGCTTAGTTCTGCTCTTTCAATTGCAAATGGGTAATTAAACTGTAAACATTATATAAATCTGTTCATAATACTGTTCTATTTATCTTAATTTTATATATTTTTTTATCTGGCAGACAATATTGTCATTCATCATGCGTCAGAGGCTTGGAGGAAAGGGTTATCAAGCAGACCCAAATAACCCTGTTTTACTTCATATTAAACCTCTTGGAGAAGTTGTTGATTCCATAATGAAACTTCAGAACATTGTTGAAGAAGAACCAGATTTAAGGTAAGAATCCATTACATATACATGTGACCATCACTTTATGTGATCGATGCACATCAGGCCCTTACCACAACAAAGTCACATAAAGAGAACACAGATTAACATGTAAAACATATAAATATGTCCTGAGACTTTCCAATAACACACTTCTTAACAGGTGAATTTGATCAAAAGAAATGTGGTAATGGTTGAATGAGAGTAGAACCTATATAACATTGCCCAATGAGCCTACTGTAATGCTCATCTGCTCTCTTCTAGGAAAATGGTTTAGCAAAAAGAATGTATATAAATGTCTAAGAGTAATGCCTGCATAGCATAGGCCAGTAAGCCTATGGCAGTGCACCTTTTGTAATACAGGAACAAAGGCTTTGTTCTTATTTTGGAAAGCAATGGCTTAGCAATAGACTTGTGTATAGTTGGCTGAGAGTATGACCTGCATAGTATAGACCAATATGTTTACTGTAATATTCTTTCTAATTTGGGAAAATATTGTTTAGCAATAGAGTTGTTTATGAATGGGAATGGTTGAGAAGAGGTAGACTTACCCAGTACTGCCCAGTAAGCCTACTGCAATGGTTTCAGTAAAAACCAGTTCAGAGCTACATTTAATGAAATATGGTTATAAACTGAGAGGTGGTGGGCTTGGTTGATTGATCTCAAATGAGCAAATTTATATTTTATCTATCAAATTACTGTTAGCAATAGTGTCACCGTGTACAGGTCAATTCCCATAGATTCCATGTTATACATTTCTACGAACCAGTTTCAGATACTGATCATAAATACGAGAGGAGGGGAGAGTGCAAGGTGGGGATTGTCCACACTTAACTCTTTGAGGGTCCAGACCCCCATTCTGAAACTTGTCCACAGAGTCCAAGAATTTGAAAAAAAAAAAAAAAGGATTATTTCTTATGAAATGGTAGAGAATCTTTTTTCTGAAGGTAATAAAACAAAAAGTACGAAATATGATGGAAAATTGACGAAATTACACTTTGACCAATTCTGCTATATCAGTGATATTTACACCAGTGATTTTGCCCACTTTGAGTCCTATTTTAAGTCAATTATATTGTTGCAGTTGACCAAATTCTTAGCTATTTTGTTAGCATTACTTCTATTTTATCAGTTGAGCACAAGAAACCACCCAGTCAGCTATTTCAACTACTGGCACTAAATAACATTTGCTCTGCTTATTAGTTATGTTTCCAGGCTTTACACGTAAGAATCTTTATTCACACCAAAAAAACAGAAGATTTACTGTTATGCAAACCATACCCCGGCCGGGATTGAACCCGCGGTCAGAGAATCTCAAAACTCCAGACCGTCGCGTTAGCGATTTCGTGAGTACTGTTATGCAATATTGTAATAATTGTATAAATAACATCAGGATATTCATGAATGCATATTAAATTCACCAGTTGATGTGTATTGGAAGTGTGATGTGATTTGTTTATTCTTGAATATCGGCAAAAATTGAACATTTCCACTACTTTGAGCTCAATATCACTCTATTTTCATCTCATTTTCCATAATATATCTTCCATTCTATCAGTTGAGACCAAGAAATTGAGAATACAGCCTTGAAAACCTCATGAAAATACTCCACAGAATTGCTGTTTTAAGCCATAAATGTGGGGGCAGTTTTTTTTCTCATTATGCACTGCATGCTGCAGAATTTTTTTATTTTTATTATCACACTGGCCGATTCCCACCAAGGCAGGATGGCCCGAAAAAGAAAAACTTTCACCATCATTCACTCCATCACTGTCTTGCCAGAAGGGTGCTTTACACTACAGTTTTTAAACTGCAACATTAACACCCCTCCTTCAGAGTGCAGGCACTGTACTTCCCATCTCCAGGACTCAAGTCCGGCCTGCCGGTTTCCCTGAACCCCTTCATAAATGTTACTTTGCTCACACTCCAACAGCACGTCAAGTATTAAAAACCATTCGTCTCCATTCACTCCTATCAAACACGCTCATGCACGCCTGCTGGAAGTCCAAGCCCCTCACACACAAAACCTCCTTTACCCCCCTCCCTCCAACCTTTCCTAGGCCGACCCCTACCCCGCCTTCCTTCCACTACAGACTGATACATTCTTGAAGTCATTCTGTTTCGCTCCATTCTCTCTACATGTCCGAACCACCTCAACAACCCTTCCTCAGCCTTCTGGACAACAGTTTTGGTAATCCCGCACCTCCTCCTAACTTCCAAACTACGAATTCTCTGCATTATATTCACACCACACATTGCCCTCGGACATGACATCTCCACTGCCTCCAGCCTTCTCCTCGCTGCAACATTCATCACCCATGCTTCACACCCATATAAGAGTGTTGGTAAAACTATACTCTCATACATTCCCCTCTTTGCCTCCAAGGACAAAGTTCTTTGTCTCCACAGACTCCTAGTGCCCACTCACCCTTTCCCCTCATCAATTCTATGATTCACCTCATCCTTCATAGACCCATCTGCTGACACATCCAGTCCCAGATATCTGAATACATTCACCTCCTCCATACTCTCTCCCTCCAATCTGATATCCAATCTTTCATCACCTAATATTTTTGTTATCCTCATAACCTTACTCTTTCCTGTATTCACTTTTAATTTTCTTCTTTTGCACACCCTACCAAATTCATCCACCAATCTCTGCAACTTCTCTTCAGAATCTCCCAAGAGCACAGTGTCATCAGCAAAGAGCAACTGTGACAACTCCCACTTTATGTGTGATTCTTTATCTTTTAACTCCACGCCTCTTGCCAAGACCCTCGCATTTACTTCTCTTATAATAATATACGTAAATTATATATTTCCTAGGTAGTAGGTTGGTAAACAGCAACCGCCCAGGGAGGTACTACCATCCTGCCAAGTGAGTGTACAACGAAAACTTGTAATTGTTTTACATGATGGTAGGATTGATGGTGTCTTTTGTCTGTCTCATAAACATGCAAGATTTCAGGTATGTCTTGTTACTTCTACTTACACTTAGGTCACACTACACATACATTTACAAGCATATATATACACACACCCCTCTGGGTTTTCTTCTGTTTTCTTTCTAGTTCTTGTTCTTGTTTATTTCCTCTTACCTCCATGGTAAGTGGAACAGAATTCTTCCTCCATAAGCCATGCGTGTTGTTAGAGGCGACTAAAATGCCGGGAGCAAGGGGCTAGTAACCCCTTCTCCTGTATATATTACTAAATGTAAAAGGAGAAACTTTCGTTTTTCCTTTTGGGCCACCCTGCCTCAGGTGGGATACGGCCGGTGTGTTGAAAGAAGAAAGAAGAATAATTATATATTTACTATCCATGAGGAAGTGGAATAAGAATCTTACCTCCGTAAGCCATGCGTGTTGTAAAAGTCGACTAAAATGCCTGGAACAGTGGGCTAGTAACCCCTTTTCATGTATAGCCTACTAAAAAGAAAAAGAAGAAAACCGTCAAAGTGGGATGTTTGAATGTGCGTGGATGTTGTGCGAATGATAAGAAAGAGAGAATTGTGGACGTTATGAATGAGAAGTTTGATGTCCTGGCTTTAAGTGAAACAAAGCTGAAGGGGGTGAGAGAGTTTCAGTGGGGAGAAAAAAATGGGATTAGATCAGGGGTTTCAAATAGAGTTAGAGCTAAAGAAGGAGTAGCAATAATGTTGAAGGTTAATTGAAACAAATATGCATGGATAATGAGGGAGGCCCAGTGGCAATATGAGAATGACATAGCATCGAAAGCCAACTCTGACTCACAGCTTTTGTACAGCCACATTAGGAGGAAAACAACAGTCACAGACCAGGTAATCAGGCTGAGGAAGGAAGCACTGGAGATCACAAGAAATGACCAAAAAGTATGAGAAAAGCTTAACACATGATTGAAGAAAATATGTTCAGTGGAGACAGAACGCATTCCAGCAAACTGGGATGAACACAGTACAAACAACCAAGGAAGAGGCGAAGAGGCTGCTGACTGAACTAGGTACCTCAAAGGCTGTGGGGCCGGACAACATCTCTTCATAGGTCCTGAGAGAGGGAGCACAGATGCTGTGTGTGCCAGTAACAACAATCTTTAACACATCTGTCGAAACAGGGCGACTACCTGAGGTGTGGAAGACAGCAAACACAGTCCCAATTTAAAAAAAAATATGATATAGATAGGTAACATTAAACTACATAGCAGTGTTACTGACATGTATAGCATTCAAAGTCATGGGACACTGTATACAAAATTCAAGAAGATTACCAAATGGAACAAAAGGAGCACGTAAATGACTTTGGAATAATTATGTCAGCTGACTTTTCTTTCAAAGAACCTAATACAAAGATGTGCAAGACAGGTATACAATACCGACAAGATGAAAGTTAAGACACTTGTGCAACATCTGGTTATCTTTATTGTAGACGTTTTGCCATCCAGTGGCTTTATCAATACAAATTCCAGGACATAATTAGAAAACAGAAAAACTATATACAAAAGATGAGGTAATCAGTCCCTCAGCCTTGGAGGTGGTGTTTACAGCACCATGGTTGTGCTTCAGAATCACTACAACCACGGTGCTGTAAACACCACCTCCAAGGCTGAGGGACTGATTACCTCACCTTTTGTATATAGTTCTTCTGTTTTCTAATTATGTCCAAGAATCTGTATTGATAAAGCCACTGGATGGCGAAATGTCTGCAATAAAGATAACCAGATGTTGCACAAGTGTCTTAATGTTCATCTAATACAAAGATCACGACAGCCAGGAGGATGATGGGGTGGATGTTGAGAACTTTCAAAACAAGGGAAATAATGCCAGTGGTGACACTCCTCAAATTGCTAGTGCTTCCTCACTTGGAATATTGCTCAGTGCTGATGGCCCTTTTCAAAGCAGGAGAAATATCAGAGCTGGATCAAATACAGAGTTTGTTTACACCACACATAAATGCCAGTAAAACACTTAAATTGCTGGGAATGCCTTAAAGTCGAACATGTACTCACTGGAACGGAGGACAGAGAGATACATGATAATATATACTTGGAAAGTACTCGAGGGCCTGGTCCCAAGTCTACACACTGCCATAACAATGTACTGGAGTGAAAGATATGGGTGGAAGTGCAAAATAAACCCAGTGAGGAGTAGGGGTGCAGTGGGCACAATAAGGGAACACTGTATCAACATTTGTGGCCCCAGACTATTCAACATCTTACCAGAAGATATCAGAAACATGGCTGAAACAAGTGTAGAAGCCTTCAGGGAGAAACTGGACAAGTATCTTCGCTAGGTGCCAGATCAACCAGGCTCTGATGGATGTGATGGGCAGTGGGCCTCCAGCAGCAACAGCCTGGTTGACCAGGCAAGCACGAGACGAGCCTGGCCCATGGCCAGGCTCCGAGAATAGTGAGACTTTCGAAACTCGTCAAAGGCATATCAAAGGCCAGGTATGGAGTAGCTATTCAGGAGAAGAGTTGTGGAGCACCTAGCTTACATACAGTAACCAGCACAGTTTAAAGGAAGGGAAATCATGTGTCACAAACCTACTGGAGTTTTATGACAAGGTGAGAGAAGTAAGACAGGAGAGAGAGGGATGGGTAGACTGCATTTTCTTGGACTGTAAGATGGCTTTTGAGACAGTTCTGCATAAGAGATTAGTGAAAAAGCTAGAGGAGCAGACAGGAATAACAAGAAAGGCATTGCAGTGGATCAAAGAATACCTGACAGGAAGGAAACAGTTATTGATGATATATGATGAGGTGTCAGAGTGGCACATGTGATAACCAGGGTTTTACAAGGGTCAGTCCTAGGGCCATGTGTCCTAGGGCCATGTGCTGCTTTCTGGTGTATGTGAGTGACATGATGGAAGGGATACATGCAGAGGTGTCCCTGTTCACAGACACTGTGAAAGTAATGTGAAAAATTCAAGTGGACAGGGATCAGGTAGGACTATAGAGGGATCTGGACAGGCTGCAAGCCTGGTCCAATAACTCCAAAGTCATGAAGATTGGGGGAAGTCAAAGAAGACCACAGAGTACAGGCTAGGAGGCCAAAGGCTGCAAACCTTACTCAAGGAAAAGACTCTTGGGGTGAGCATCATGCTGAACACATCTGAATGGCACATCAACCAAATAACTGCTGCAGCATGTGTGTGCCTAACAAACTTAGGAATAGTTTTTATGACATCTCTGTAAGAAGGCATTCCCTACACTGGATCAGGCCCATATTGGAGTATGCAGTACCATTATGGAACCCATACCTTGTCAAGCATGTCAAGAAATTAGATAAAGTACAAAAGTTTTGCAGCAAGACTAGTCCTGGAGCTAAGGAGTATGTCCTATTAGGAGAGGTTAAAGGAACTCAATTTGATGATACTGGTGGACAGGAGGGATAGTGGGTGCATGATAATGACTTATAAAATACTTAGATGAATTGACAAGGCGAACAGGGACAGAATGTTTCAGAGATGATGCTCAGAAATAAGGGGGCACAATTGGAAGTTGAAAACTCAGATTAGTCATAGGTATGTTAAGAAGTATTTCTTCAGTCTTAGGGTTGTCTGGAGGTGGAACAATCTGGTGAGTGAAGTATTAGAGGTGGGAGCCATTCATAGGCTTAACCTTTAACCCTTTCAGGGTCGCCAGGCCCTCTCCGAGACTTGTTTTCAGGGTCGCCAAATTTTCAAAAAAAAAAAAATTTCTTATGAAAATATAGAGAATCTTTTCCCGATCATAATGACACCAAAAGTATGAAATTTGATGGAAAACTTACGGAATTATGCTCTCGCGAAGTTAGTGGTCTTGACGATGTTTACGCATTGGTGATTTTGCCCACTTTGAGCCTTATTTTCGGCCAATTCCAGTGTACTAGTCGAAAAAATCATAACTATTTCGCTAGAACTCCATTTTTTCTATCGAATGAGTACAAGAAACCGCTAATTTACCGATTTCAACTATCCAATGCAGTGGTCAGAATTTAGCAACTTTGCCAATTTCACACAAATTTCAAAAGATGCCAATTTCCAAATAGGGTCCAGAATAAACAAGAAGGACATTCCTGGCCCTTCCTCTGTTCATTGGTCACGTCCTCACGCTCCTCTTACATTCTTTTGCTTTCCACTTTGAATTTTTATTCTCACAAAAAAATAGAAGATTTACTGTTATGCAGACTACTGCATTAGTATAGAAATGGTATAAATAATATGGGCCCACTTGCGAAAGAATATTAGACTCACCAGTTGACGTGTATTGGACGCTTAGCATGATTTGTTTACTTTTGAACTTTGGTAAAAATCGAACATTTCTGCTACTTTGAGCTCAATTTCAAGGTACTTTTCATTGTAAAACCAGTCAAAATCATCTCAATTTCTGTAATATGTCTTTCATTCTATAAAATGAGACCAGGAAAACTAGAATACAAGAATAAATACCATACGAAAATACAGTGGACCCCCGCTTAACGATCACTTCCCAATGCGACCAATTATGTAAGTGTATTTATGTAAGTGCGTTTGTACGTGTATGTTTGGGGGTCTGAAATGGACTAATCTACTTCACAATATTCTTTATGGGAACAAATTCGGTCAGTACTGGCACCTGAACATACTTCTGGAATGAAAAAAATATCGTTAACCGGGGGTCCACTGTACAGTGCAAAGTCGCTGTTTTAATCCAAAAACACGGTCAAAGTTTTTTTTTTCTCATTATGCACTGTGTGCTGCAGGATTTTTCTTATACTGCACACACTGACCACATAGACCCATTCTTTCATATGTAGGCCTACCAGCTTTCTCTCACTAGATTTGAGGGCGCTAGAATTTAGGCGTACTAGTACGTCAAAAACCCTGGTGCGTAAGCCGTACTAGTATGGCCGAAACCCTGAAAGGGTTCAACTGTCCAAACATAGGTTTAGGTTCGCTCGTGTAGCGCTCTGAACGTAGATCTACTTTTTTACATAAAGCATGTAAAATCGAATGTAGATTTACATTCGGAGTGCTATGCGAGCAAACGTAGATCTACGTTTGGAGAGTTTAAGGGTTAAGAAGAGGTACAATAAGGGTTTCTGAGCAGGGAGAAAGTGGATCTAGTAGTGACCAGTGAAGAGGCAGGACCAGAATCTGTGACTCAACCCCTACAGCCACATATAGGTGAGTACTTATAGGTGAGAGTTCACACACACATACAGACACATAATCACTCAAGAACATAAGAGCAGTGCTGTAGCAGGCCTACTGGCCTATGCTAGGCAGGTAGAAGTCACATACACTCAAGAAGGAAGGAACACACAAAAACATAAACATATGCACATACACATATAAAAAACATACACACTCATGCAAACAAACACATACATACAAAATATCAACCACACATAAACTAATACACACACAGTGGTAAAGAAAGCCAGAGTGGAAGTTGGTAACTGAAATGATGGAACATGTGGCCACAAAGTGCGTAGAAGTGAAGTTCGTATCCAGTGTCAGTAGAAACAATAGGAAGACCAGACTGAGCCCATGGTGTACCCAGATGTGTAGAGAGGCTAAAGTCAAGTGTACTAGTGGTCAGTGTGATGGACTGTCAAGTTCACAAGTTGATCTAGTGGTGTCAGTGTGATGGACTGTCAAGTTCACAAGTTGATCTAGTGGTGTCAGTGTGATGGACTGTCAAGTTCACAAGTTGATCTAGTGGTGTCAGTGTGATGGACTGTCAAGTTCACAAGTTGATCTAGTTGTGTCAGTGTGATGGACTGTCAAGTTCACAAGTTGATCTAGTGGTGTCAGTGTGATGGACTGTCAAGTTCACAAGTTGATCTAGTTGTGTCAGTGTGATGGACTGTCAAGTTCACTAGTTCATCTAGTGGTCATTGTGATATACTGTTAAGTTCACTAGTGAGGTGGCAGCAGTAATAGCAGTGAGGTGGCAGCAGTAATAGCAGTGAGGTGGCAGAAGTTACATCAAATAAAGATACCCATCATCACGATACTTGTGTGCAAGCACATGGAGGTCAAGTACAGTTACTATGTCAATGAATGACATATGTAGTTAAAGTTTTCAGTATTGTTTCTCTCTTGTCACCTTCATAGGATCCTTGTAATTTTTGCTTTAACAAAAACTTATTGTTTGAATTTACTTTTATGACATTTTTTTTTTTTGTGATAAATGTTAAAGCCTTCCATTTGGTTTTTCTTTGAAAATTGATATGGGCCTCCATTTCCTTAAGCTTTATTTACCTTAATTTTTATTTTGATATGTCTTATTTTTCAGGAAAGGGGCATTACAAGTCATGTCAGTGATTAAAACAAATTTATTACAAATGAAAGAGCGTGTTTTTAAACGTGCTTCTGTAGAGAAGGTGTGGAGTGGCCTAAACTCTGCTCTTATATCTTTACTAGAGAGAGTCAGTGATGGAAGAGAACCTGCACACAACATCCACACAACATGTTCTCTTCAACCCTGCTTGAAGGTTACTGTCTTCATACTTTATGTGACTTTTGTTTGACATAGTACATACTCTCCTCACTTAATGAAGGAGTTCTGTTTCTAAAACCACGTCAGTAAAAAAATTCATCGCTAAGTGAGGAGCATACTATAATGTTAGCAGGTTTGTGTCAACCATCTTTGATATTGTTTTAATGTCACCTCTGCACCATTTATAACATCTCAGGTATATTTTAAAATGTTTACACAATAGTGTACTATTGTAATAAACAGAATACAATAGACCGTCATTTAACACAGTTACGTTCCTGAAAAACGTCGTGTTAGGTAAAACCATGTAAGATGAACTGAAGAACTTATGGGAAAAATAGGGTTACGTTCCTAGGAGCTCCAAAAAAGCCAAACAACTTTTTTTTAGGCCTCCACATCTTACAAAAATAGAAGTGAATATGTAATTGTAGTTTATTGTCGTGATGTATTATGTTGTTTTTACTGCTTAAGATTACAGTTGGAACAGAAATACAGTGGACCCTCAGTTAACGATGCCTTCCGATAGCAATAAAATTGGATACCGATAAGTTTTTGTGTCAAAATATTGGCTCGGGTAACGATAAAAGACTCAGTTAAGAACATTCGTCCAGAACGTGTCCACGCGTCCTGAGCCGCCCAGCCACTCCAGTGTGGCTAGTGTGCCATTGTTTACAAGCCACTGTGGACGATTCCACGTGTACATGCAATACATTTTGTATTATTCCATTGTTTTTAGTGCTTGTAACTGCTAAATAAGCCACCATGGGCCCAAAGAAAGCTTCTAGTGCCAGTCAGCCCTTTGGTAAAGGGGTGAGGGAGAGGAGAGAATGTGCCTTTTTCAGTGATTCTGCAATATGTATATTAAAGCAGCAGGAGTCTATAGCAGCAGCCAGTGATAAAGTGTAGCATTAACCCTTTCAGGGTCGACAGGCCCTTTCCCAGACTTGTTCTCAGGGTCGACAAATTTAAAAAAAAAAGAAAATGATTTTTTCTTGTGAAAAGATAGAGAATCTTTTCCCGATCATAATGACACCAAAAGTATGAAATTTGATGGAAAACTTACGGAATTATGCTCTTGCGAAGTTAGTGGTCGCAATGATGTTTACGCATCGGCGATTTCGCCCACTTTGAGCCCTACTGTCGGCCAATTCCAGTGTACTAGTCGACAAAAATCATAACTATTTTACTAGAACTCCATTTATTCTATCGAATGAGTTCAAGAAACCACCCATTTACCGATTTCAACTATCCAGTAAAGTGGTCAGAATTTAGTAATTTTGCCAATTTCACACAAATTTCAAAAGATGCCAATTTCCAAATAGGGTCCAGAATAAACAAGAAAGGCATTCCTGGCACTAAAATAACATTTCCTTTGTTCATTAGTCATGATCCCATGCCCCTCTAACATTCTTTTGCTTTCCACTTTGAATTTTTTTCTCACAAAAAATAGAAGATTTACTGTTATGCAGACTACTGCATTAGTGTAGAAATGGTATAAATAATATCAGCACACTTTTGAAAGAATATTAGACTCACCAGTTGACGTGTATTGGATGCTTAGCATGATTTGTTTACTTTTGAACTTTGGCAAAAATCAAAGATTTCTGCTACTTTGAGCTCAATTTCAAGGTACTTTTCATTGTAAAACCAATCAAAATCATCTCAATTTCTGTAATATGTCTTCCATTCTATAAAATCAGACCAGGAAAACTAGAATACCATCATAAATACCATATGAAAATACAGTGCAAAGTCGCTGTTTTAAACCAAAAACACCGTCAAAGTTTTTTTTTTCTCATTACGCACTGTGTGCTGCAGGATTTTTTTTTATACTGCACACACTGACCACATAGACCCATTCTTTCATATGTAGGCCTACCGGCTTTCTCTCACTAGATTTGAGGGCGCTAGAATTTAGGCGTACTAGTACATCAAAAACCCTGGTGCATAAGCCATACTAGTACATCAGAAACCCTGAAACGGCTAACTGCAGCAAGTAAGTTAAGTGATTAATCGATAGAAAAAGGAAGCCATAAACCTAACTCCTCCAATGTTGTTGGAGTTATGTAGGGTGACTGACAACACCGCTGTCTCTACCGCCTCTGCTGCCACCTCCCTCCACCACTATGTACGGCTTATGCTCTCAGTGTCCCTTATACACCCAACAACAACACAGCAACACTTGTGACGTACTTGATGACGTATTTTATTCATTCTAGAGTATATGTCGTGTTTCCATGTTATTAATATTGTGTATTATGTCATATTAGGTAAATTGTGCTAGATAAATAAGCCGTAGAGCTGATAATAGTGTCCTATTGAAGGACTATCTTGTGTCTCCCAACACAGTTCCTAACTTACGCCAGAAACAGACCTCTCTGGAAAGCTTTTTTGAACGACAGGGGTCCAGTGGCTCTCAAGCTGGTCCTAGTGGCATTAAAAAACAAAGGAGGGAAGTAACCCAGGATAAGGACTTGGTATCTGAAGTCTTTATGGAGTGGGATTCTCCTTTCAAACAATTGTAAACTCCATCCTCTCCTCTCCTCCCATCTTCCATACATCACCATGTCTTCAATATAGGTAAGTGTGATGTTATTATTGTTTTATTATTCATGTATCATTGTTTTCTGTGTAGGGAAATGTATATTTCATGTTAAAAAATGATTTTGTTTAATACTTTTGGATGTCTGAAATGGATTAATTGGATTTCCATTATTTCTTATGGGGAAAATTAATTCGGAAAACGATAAAATTGGTTAAGGACAAGCTCTCTGGAACGGATTAATATTGTTAACTGAGGGTCCACTGTTCAGTGGAACCCCGAATATTGGCTGCTGGGTTTGTCGATCGAATCGTATTTAGGCTGATTTTTGGGCCAAAATTTTGCTTCGTTTTTCAGCAGGTGCCTTGCAAATCGGCTGTATTAGATTCGTCAGCCTGCCTTCTGCCAGGACGATGTACGTAGGTGAGTCAGTCTCCCTGTGTGTCTCAATGAATGAGCATATACTCAGCGCATTCTTCCAAAACATTTCCTTAAAATTCATTGTTTTTTGTGCTTGTTTATTAAGTGCGACTGTGAAATAAGCCACCTTGGGCCCAAAGAAAGTTCCTAGTAAAGTTCCTTTGGCACAGAAAATGAGAAACATGATGGAAATTAAGAAAGAAGTTACTGAAAAATATGAGAGTGGTGTGCATGTACTCCAGCCTGCCAGGATGTATGGCAAAAACAAATAAACAGTCACTTCTATCCTGGCAAAGAAAGAACAAATCAAGGAGTTGGTGGAGGACCACAGGGAAGAGCTAACCACTGAAGAGCTGCAATGCTTTCAACTGGAACAGCAACAGACCACAGCTGAGGAACTTGCTTCAGAGGAGGAGGAAGAGAGAGGGAAGGAGGTGCCTTCTTCAGAGATTAAGGAGATTTGTGCAATGTGGAGTAGGGTGCAAGCTTTTGCTGAGAAATATCACTCTGACCAAGCTGAAACAAGCCATATCTGCAACATGTTTAGTGACAAAACCTTGGCTCATTGTAGGCAAATCTTAACTCTTTGACTGTTTCAGTCATATATATACGTCTTACGAGCCACCGTGTTTGACGTATATATATACTCAAAAATTCTAGTGGCTTCAAATCAAGCAGGAGAAAGCTGGTAGGCCCACACATGTGAGAATGGGTTTGTGTGGTCAGTGTGCACCATATAAAAAAAATCCTGCAGCACGCAGTGCATAATGAGGAAAAAAAAAACTCCGACCGTGTTTTTGGATTAAAACGCCGACTTTGTGGTGTATTTTCCTGGTCACAGACCGGGCCGCGGGGGCGTTGACCCCCGAAACTCTCTCCAGGTAAACTCCAGTATTTATAGCTGTATTCTCATTTTCTTGGTCTCATTCGATAGAATGGAAAACATGTTATAAAAATAGACATGATTTTGATTGGTTTTACTATGAAAAGAACCTTGAAATGAGCTCAAAGTAGAGGAAATGTTTGATTTTTGCCGATGTTCAAAAGTAAACAAATTATGTCATTGTCCAATAAATGTCCAACTAGCCATTCTAATATGCAGTCATGAATGAGTTGACATTATTTATAGTTATTACAATATTGCAGTTGTCTGCATAACAGTAAATTTCTATTTTTTGTTTGAATAAAAATTCAAAATAGAAAGCAAGAGTAATATCAGAGGGGCCTGGAGACATTACTGATGAACAAAGAAAATTTTATTTTAGAGCCAGGAATGTCTGCATTGTTCATTCTGGACCCTATTTTGAAATTGCCATTTTTTTTAATTTGTGTGAAATTGGCCAAATTGCAAATTTCTGACCACATTATTGGGTAGTTGAAATCAGTAAATGGGCAGTTTCTTATGCTCAGTCGATAGAACAAATGGAGTTCTAAAAAAATAGTTATGAGTTTGGTCGACTGGAACAATGGAATTACCCGAAAATGGGGCTCAAGGTGAGCGAAATTGCCGATTCGTAAATATCGTTGAGGTTGCTAACTACAGGAGAGCATAATTCCGTAAGTTTTCCATCAAATTTTGTTTGTTTAGTGTCATTACCATCGGGAAAAGATTCTCTATCGTTTTATAAGAAAAAATTAGTTTTTTTTTTTTTTTTTTTTTTTTTTTTTTTTTTTTTTTTTTTTTTTTTTTTTTTTCAAAATTTTTCGACACCAGGAGACACCTCAGGATTTGGGGTTGCAACAGTCAAAGGGTTAAAGAGGTGCCAGAAACAAACCTCTTTGAACATTTTTTTTTTGTGTGACAGGGGTCCAGTGACTCAAGCTGGTCCTAGTGCCATTAAAAGACAAAGAAGGGAAGTAACCCGAAAGAAGGTAAGAAACTTGAAGTCATTGTGGAGGGGGATTCCCCTTCCAAACATAACCTCTCCTCCTCTCTCTCCCCTCCTTCCTGTCTTCCATATGCCAACAAGAGTCTTCAATATAGGTATGTAATAATGATTTAAATGTTCATTTATATGTAATTATCATTGTTTTGTGTATGTAAAACTATAGTTAAACTTTACAAAATGTATTATTTTTTATTATTTTTGGGTGTCTGGAATGGATTAATTGTATATTTACATTAATTCCTATGGGAAATATTGCTTCGAATTTAGGTCTTTTCGAATTTAGGCCGACCTCCTGGAACGGATTACAGCTGATATTTGGGGTTCCCTTGTAATATTATTTCTTACCTTAAATTGTGGGTGCTGGTGTTTGTTGATAATTGTGGAGACTGGAGAGTTATGCTGTGGCCATACTGGGCTGAGGTGGATGGTAGAGGTTCTGTTACTGAAGTCGATGGTTGTACTGGAGTGTGTATAAATTCTGTAATGGATTTCTGTCCTATTTTACCCTGCAGTACATTATATAACTGATGGTAAGGCATCAGATGCTCTAGACACTGTTTCAGGGTCCTCTTCAGTGAAAAAGTCTAATGTTAGGTCAGTCAAGTCAGTAAGTCAGTCAGCCAGTAAATCAGTCAAGTCAGTAAGTTGGTCAGTAAATCAGTCAAGTCAGTAAGTCAGACAGTGGGTCAGTCAAGTCAGTCAGTAAATCAGTTAGTCAGGCAGTAAATCATTCAAGTGAGTAAATCAGTTAGTCAGTAAATCAGTCATTAAGTCAGTAAGTCAGTCATTAAGTCAGTAAATCAGTCAGTAAGTCAATCATCACATAAACTCATATTTACCTCATTCTTATGTACACAAAGTGAGCTTCATTATGGCCACTGGCTATTTCTCTAACATCTCTATTTTCTTCATTAATTCTAAGACTAAATGCTTATACCTTTTCTTGCCACTTTCAGCAACACTTGTATGCCTACTGGGTGCCATGATTGCTTGGCAGATTTAAGATACGGCAATTAAAATACATATCTAAACAAACACAGCAAGCTCCCAAAGAATTGTCCTACACATGTAGGCTGGGAGGGTGGTGGGGGTTGCAGAAGGTGGTGGGGGATGGTGGTAGGTCTCCCCCTTTGACTCAGTGATGTAACCCACAGCCAATCCATCGGGTGACTGCTTGCTCAAAGCGACTCAAGAAATCGTAATGACACGATTGCAAATAAACCATACCCCCGGCCGGGATTGAACCCGCGGTCATAGAGTCTCAAAACTCCAGCCCGTCGCGTTAGCCACTAGACCAGCTAGCCACAATAAGATTCATCCAACTAGGTATATTTCTACACCATAGGAAAGTTAGCACAGGCACCTCTGTAACCACAAATGCAAGTTTTTACAGACGAATCTCCAGCTAGCGTGGCCGTGACGAACTCTAGCTCAAGTCCCTTCACTGCCGTCAACATGACTCAAGAAATCGTAATGACACGTTGACGTAATGAAACGTTGATGGCAGTGAAGGGACTTGAGCTAGAGTTCGTCACGGCCACGCTAGCTGGAGATTCGTCTGTAAAAACTTGCATTTGTGGTTACAGAGGTGCCTGTGCTAACTTTCCTATGGTGTAGAAATATACCTAGTTGGATGAATCTTATTGTGGCTAGCTGGTCTAGTGGCTAATGCGACGGGCTGGAGTTTTGAGACTCTATGACCGCGGGTTCAATCCCGGCCGGGGGTATGGTTTGGTTTGCTTGCTCAAAATTTTTTCCCCTCCCATTTTACGAAGTGTTGTATAAAATTGCGCCACAGTTCTTCAGTCGTGCTAAAACTGAATCGTGCCAGATAAACTTGTGCTAAATGATGGTCTACTGTAGAAGAAATCAGCTCTAATATGCATTATCTAGGTATGCATACTGGTCAGAGAGCCCGTCGTAAGTACAAGTCATCAGTAAACACTACTCTAACTCTGCTCTAAAACACAACGATGATCATCAAAGCTTGCAGAGTATTCTGAGTTAGCAGACTTTAATGTTCCACCCAAATACTTTAGTCCTATAATTGTTTTTTTTACTGTCCATGTTTATATACTGTGTTTCAAGGAGAAATGATCTCAGAGTGCTACATAATTGTTGGTTTTTGGTTGCATATAAACCTCTACACCCTTGAGCTATCACTTCCCACCCTGACCCATTAGACACCACAAACGTTGTTGTGCCATTATGAACTTGTATTCTTCTTTATGCTGACATTTGCACTTCAAGACAGCTCCACCATATGTTTTGTTAAAAAAAAAAAATCTTTATTTATTTAGTTGATACCTACTATATTAAGCTAAATTTTCAGCATTTAATTCGCTTGTGTGATGAGGCTAGTGGACACATACATGATGAAGGAATTGTTGATGCTCTCGGGGAGAATTTCCTAAGTCAGTACAATAGCGGACACAAGTTTACAACACCAGTCAGGATACCAACTGTCATTTCACTTTTCAGGTGAGTCATTATTAGAGAGTACTTTTATATTTAGAATTTTTTAAGTAGTGTAGACATACCTCTAGCAAGACAGTGATGGAGTGAGTGATGATGGAAGTGTTTCTTTTTTTCGGGTCACCTGCAGTGGTGGAAAATGGCCGATGTGTTAATAAAAAAAATGGGTTGAAGTGTTTTCAAACTTGGTACAAATACCATATTTTCCCTAACAATTAAGGAAGTGTTTTTGTGGAAAAATAATATTAGTTTCCAATATCATATATGTTATATATTGCTGCCACAAATTTGTTAGCCAAGAACTGGGCACAATAGAGAGTGAAAATGATACAGTGAAGGAAGGAGAGAGAAAATGGCAGTAAGATTGATTAAAACAGTGAACTTGTCAGTATTGCTGCATGTAAACACATTGTTCTTATAGGTAGTACGTGTGCGGAGAGTGTAATTATCAGAGAGTATTGTAGCATGTTGTAGCGGTTGTATAGTGTTGTAGCAAGTTGTAGTGCATGTATAGTGTTGTAGCATGTTGTAGTGGTTGTAAAGTGGTGTAGCATGTTGTAATTGTATAGTGTTGTAGCATGTTGTAGTGATTGTATAGTGTTGTAGCATGTTGTAGTGATTGTATAGTGTTGTAACATGTTGTAGTAGTTGTATAGTGTTGTAGCATGTTGTAGTATTTGTATAGTGTTGTAGCATATTTTTAGTGCATGTATAGTGTTGTAGCATGTTGTGTAGTTGTATAGTGTTTGTAGCATTTGTAGTGGTTGTATAGTGTTGTAGCATGTTGTTAGTGGTTGTATAGTGTTGTAGCATGTTGAAGTGGTTGATAGTGTTGTAGAAATGTTGTAGTGCTTGTATAGTGTTGTAGCATGTTGTAGGGTTGTATAGTGTTGTAGCATGTTGTAGTGGTTGTATAGTTTGTAGTGGCTGTATAGTGTTGTAGCATGTTGTAGTGGTTGTATAGTGGTTTTGTAGCATGTTGTAGTGGCTGTTTTAGTGTTGTAGCATGTTGTAGTGCTTGTATAGTGTTGTAGCATGTTGTAGTGGTTGAAATTAGTGTTGTAGAGGCTGTATAGTGTTGTAGCATGTTGAGTGCTTGAATAGTGTTGTGCATGTTGTAGTGGCTGTATAGTTTTTGTAGCATGTTGTAGGGGCTTGTATAGTGTGTACATGTTTAGTGGTTGTATAGTGTTGTAGTGGCTGTATAGTGTCGTAGCATGTTGTGGTTTTTATAGTGTTGCAGCATGTTGTATTTGGTTGTAAAAGTGTTGTAGCATGTTGTAGTGCTTGTGTAGTGTTATAGCATTTTTGTAGGGGTTGTATAGTGTTGTAGCATGTTGTATGGCTGTATAGTGTTGTAGCATGTTTAGTGCTTGTATAGTTTGTAGCATGTTGTAGTGGCTGTATAGTGTTGTAGCATGTTGTAGTGCTTGTTAGTGTTGTAGCATGTTTAGTGGCTGTATAGTGTTGTAGCATGTTGTAGTGGTTTATAGTGTTGTAGCATGTTGTATGGTTGTATAGTGTTGTAGCATGTTGAGTGCTTGTATAGTTTGTAGCTTTTGTAGTGCTTCTATAGTGTTGTAGCATGTTGTAGTGCTTGTGTAGTGTTGTAGTATGTTGTAGTGGTTGTATAGTGTTGTAGCATGTTGTAGTAGTTGTATAGTGTTGTAGCATGTTGTAGTAGTTGTATAGTGTTGTAGCATGTTGTAGTGCTTGTATAGTGTTGTAGCATGTTGTAGTGCTTGTATAGTGTTGTAGCATGTTGTAGTGGCTGTATAGTGTTTGAAGCATGTTAAAAGTGCTTGTATATGTTGTAGCATGTTGTAGTGCTTGTATAGTGTTGTAGCATGTTGTAGTGGTTGTATAGTGTTGTAGCATGTTGTAGTGCTTGTATAGTGTTGTAGCATGTTGTAGTGGTTGTATAGTGTTGTAGCATGTTGTAGTGGTTGTATAGTGTTGTAGCATGTTGTAGCGGCTGTATAGTGTTGTAGCATGTTGTAGTGCTTGTATAGTGTTGTAGCATGTTGTAGTGGTTGTATAGTGTTGTAGCATGTTGTAGTGGTTGTATAGTGTTGTAGCATGTTGTAGCAGCTGTATAATGTTGTAGCATGTTGTAGTGCTTGTATAGTGTTGTAGCATGTTGTAGTGGTCGTATAGTGTTGTAGCATGTTGTAGTGGTTGTATAGTGTTGTAGCATGTTGTAGTGGCTGTATAGTGTTGTAGCATGTTGTAGTGCTTGTATAGTGTTGTAGCATGTTTATTTGGTTGTATAGTGTTGTAGCATGTTGTAGTGGTTGTATAGTGTTGTATCATTTGAAGCGGCTGTATAGTGTTTGTAGCATGTTGTAGTGCTTGTATATGTGTGTAGCATTTTTGTAGTGGTTGTATATGTTGTTTAGCATGTTGTAGCGGCTGTATAGTGTTGTAGCATGTTGTAGTGGCTGTAAATGTTGTAGCATGTTGTAGTGGTTGTATATTTGTTGTAGCATGTTGTAGTGGCTGTATAGTGTTGTAGCATTTTTGTAGTTTTTTGATAGTGTTGTAGCATGTTGTAGTGCTGTATAGGTTGTAGCATGTTGTAGCGCTTATATAGTGTTGTAGCATGTTGTAGTGGTTGTATAGTGTTTTTAGCATGTTGTAGTAGTTGTATAGTGTTGAAGCATTTGTAGTAGTTGTATTGTGTTGTAGCATGTTGTAGTTGTATGTTTGTAGCATGTTGTAGTGCTTGTATAGTGTTGTAGCATGTTGTAGGGGGCTGTATAGTGTTGTAGCATGTTGTAGTGCTTGTACAGTGTTGTACCATGTTGTAGTGGTTGTATAGTGTTGTACCATGTTGTAGTAGTTGTATAGTGTTGAGCATGTTGTAGTGCATGTATAGATGTTGTAGCATGTTTTTAGTGGTTGTATAGTGTTGTAGCAATGTTGTAGTAGTTTTTATAGTGTTGTAGCATTTTGTAGGGGCTGTATAGTGTTGTAGCATTTTGTAGTGCTTGAATAGTTTTTGTAGCATGTTGTATGGTTGTATAGTGATGTAGCATGTTGTAGTGGTTGTATAGTGATGTAGCATGTTGTAGTGGTTGTATAGTGATGTAGCATGTTGTAGTGGTTGTATAGTGATGTAGCATGTTGTAGTGGTTGTATAGTGATGTAGCATGTTGTAGTGCTTGTATAGTGTTTGTAGCATGTTGTAGTGGCTGAAATAGTGTTGTAGCATGTTGTAGTGCTTGTATAGTGTTGTAGCATGTTTTAGTCTTGTATAGTGTTTATAGCATGTTGTATGTTTGTATATGTTGTAAAAGTTGTAGTGCATGTATATGTTGTAGCATGTTGTAGTGGTTGTAAAGTGGTGTAGAAATTTTGTTAATTGTATAGTGTTGTAGCATGTTGTAGTGTTTGGGTATAGTGTTGTAGCTGTTGTAGTGATTGTATAGTGTGTAACATTTTTGTAGTATTGTATAGTGTTGTAGCATGTTGTAGTTGTATAGTGTTGTAGCATATTATAGTGCATGTATAGTGTTGTAGCATGTTGTAGTAGTTGTATAGTGTTGTAGCATGTTGTAGTGGTTGTATAGTTTTTGTAGCATGTTGTAGTGGTTGTATGTGTTGTAGCATGTTGAAGTGGTTGTATAGTGTTGTAGCATGTTGTAGTGCTTGTATAGTTTGTAGCAATGTTGTAGGGGTTGTATAGTGTTGTAGCATGTTGTAGTGGTTGTATAGGTTGTAGTGGCTGTATAGTGTTGTAGCATTTTTGTAGTGCTTGTATAGTGTTGTAGCATGTTGTAGTGGTTTATAGTGTTGTAGCATGTTGTAGTGGCTGTTTTAGTGTTGTAGCATGTTGTAGTGCTTGTATAGTGTTTGTACCCATGTTGTAGTGGTTGTATAGTGTTGTAGAGGCTGATAGTGTTGTAGCATGTTGTAGTGCTTGTATGGGGTTTGAAAGCATGTTGTAGTGGCTGTATAGTGTTTGTAGCATGTTTTTGTGCTTTTTAAAAGTGTTGTAGCATGTTGTAGTGGTTGTATAGTGTTGTAGTGGCTGTATAGTGTCGTAGCATGTTGTGGTTGTATAGTGTTGCAGCATGTTGTAGTGGTTGTATAGTGTTGTAGCATGTTGTAGTGCTTGTGTAGTGTTGTAGCATGTTTGTAGGGGTTTGTATAGTTTTTGTAGCATGTTGTAGTGGCTGTATAGTGTTGTAGCATGTTGTAGTGGTTGTATAGTGTTGTAGCATGTTGTAGTGGCTGTATAGTGTTGTAGCATGTTGTAGTGCTTGTATAGTGTTGTAGCATGTTGTAGTGGCTGTATAGTGTTGTAGCATGTTGTAGTGGTTGTATAGTGTTGTAGCATGTTGTAGTGGTTGTATAGTGTTGTAGCATGTTGTAGTGCTTGTATAGTGTTGTAGCATGTTGTAGTGCTTCTATAGTTTTTGTAGCATTTTTTGTTAGTGCTTGTGGTAGTGTTGTAGTATGTTGTAGTGGTTGAAATAGTGTTGTAGCATGTTGTAGTAGTTGTATAGTGTTTGTAGCATGTTGTAGTAAGTTTATAGTGTTGTAGCATGTTGTAGTGCTTGTATAGTGTTGTAGCATGTTGTAGTGCTTGTATAGTGTTGTAGCATGTTTGTAGTGGTTTGTATAGGTTGTACCCATGTTGAATGCTTGTATAGTGTTGTAGCATGTTGTAGGGGCTTGTATAGTGTTGTAGCATGTTGAGTGGTTGTATAGTTTTGTAGCATGTTGTAGAGTGTTGTATAGTGTTGTAGCATGTTGTAGTGGTTGTATAGTGTTGTAGCATGTTGTAGTGGTTGTATAGTGTTGGTAGCATGTTGTAGCGGCTGTATAGTGTTGTTGCATGTTGTAGGCTTGTATAGTGTTGTAGCATGTTGTAGTGGTTGTATAGTGTTGTAGCATGTTGTAGTGGTTGTATAGTGTTGTAGCTTGTTGTAGCAGCTGTATAGTGTTGTAGCATGTTGTAAGTGCTTGTATAGTGTTGTAGCATGTTGTAGGGGTTGTATAGTGTTGTAGCATTTGTAGTGGTTGTATAGTTTTTGGGTAGCATGTTGTAGTGGCTGTATAGTGTTGTAGCATGTTGTAGTGCTTTTTATATGTTGTAGCATGTTGTAGTGGTTGTATAGTGTTGTAGCATGTTGTAGGGGTTTTGTATAGTGTTGTATCATGTTGTAGCGGCTGTATAGTGTTGTAGCATGTTGTAGTGCTGTATAGTGTTTGTAGCATGTTGTAGTGGTTGTATAGTTTGTAGCATGTTTGTAGCGGCTGAAATAGTGTTGTAGCATGTTTAGTGGCTGTTTTAGGTGTTTAAGCATGTTGTAGTGGTTGTATAGTGTTGTAGAATGTTGTAGTGGCTGTATAGTGTTGTAGCATGTTGTAGTGGTTGTATAGTGTTGTAGCATGTTGTAGTGCTGTATAGTGTTGTAGCATGTTGTAGTGCT